ATTCATTCCGTCTATTTTTCTTGTGCTGACCAAGTCTCCTATGGTCCAAAATCTTCACGATTCCCCTCTCAAATTGCTTCTGAATCATAGGTGGAGCCCTTAATGATGTATTCCTTTCCGTATCCTCAAGATCTTTATGGAAAGGCTTTAGATAGCCAACATGGAATGTGGGATGAACCTTTCAGGCAGCTTCAGCCTATATGCAACAGCGCCCACTTTCCCCATCACCTTAAACGGCCCATCATACCTTGGCACTAATCCACAGTGCCGATTATTCCCAACAATCTTCTTCCATATATGTGGAGTCAACTTCAATAGCACCCTGTCGCCAACATCAAACTCTAAAGGTCTCCGTTTTTGGTTAGCATATTTCACCATACGCTTGCCTGCCCTTCGCAAACTTTCTTGCACTTACTTAAAGAGTTCCTGTCTCTCCTTCACAAATCTGTACACAGCTGGACTCCTTCCCCCAGTCTTCTGGACTGCTATCTCCGCTGGAGTTTGGGGTTGCATCCCTAAAACTAACTCAACTCAGTCGCTGATGATTTGTGGAGATTGTAGCTAAACTGTGCACTATTAAGCAACTCAAGCCAATTTCTTTGTGTTGCCGTCACATAGTGTCAAAGATACTCCTCCAACAATGCATTAATCCTCTCCGTCTGTCCATCCGTCTGCGGATGATTGGCTGTCGAGAACTTCAGCCTTGTTCCCATCAACCCAAACAATACTGTCCAGAATCGTCTAGTGAATCGCACATCGCGATCACTAACCACATCTGAAGGAACCCCAAAGTACTTCACTACATATTTGTAAAACAAACCAGCAGCCACTTTAGCCGTGCATACAGATGGTGTAGCCACAAAAACAACATACTTCGAAAACCTGTCGATAACCACCATAACAGCGTCCATGCCGTCGACTTTCGGAAAGCCCACTACAAAGTCCATCGAAACTGAAACCCAAGGCCTTTCCAGTATCGGCAAAGTCTGCAATAACCCTGCTTCCTTCTGCCTCAACACCTTGTCCTGCTGACAAACCAAGCAAGTTTTGACATAAAGTTCCACGTCAAACTCCATCTTTGGCCAGTAATAGGTTTCGGCTAAGAGAGCCAGCATGCGCTCCATCCTGGATGACCTGCCCACTGCAGGTCATGCATTTCGGTCAGCAAATGTTTCCTCAGCTTCCCACTTGGAACATAAACTCGGCCCCCTTTAGCATAGAGAAGGCCATTATCCAGCCAATACCTTCACACAGTCCCTCCCGTATGAGATCAACTATCTTGACATAGGTTGCATCTTCCACGGCAGCCTGCCTCAACCGATCCAGCATATCGGATTCCACATGATCCTTTGCAATCAAACTAGCAAGCACCTCACGCCTGCTCAATGCATTCGCAACCTGATTGTGTCGCCCTGGCTTATGTTCCCACATGAAAACATATTCGGCCAGGAATTCTTGCCACCTAGCCTGCCGCTGCGACAACTTCTTCTGAGTTTTAAAGAATGTATTAGCCAAATTGTCTGTCTTCACTACAAACTGCGGCCCCAACATATACACCCTCCACACGCCAAGACAATGCACCACGACTGCCATTTCTTTCTCATGTGTGGAATACCTCTGTTCTGCCTCGCTTAGCTTTCGACTCTCGAAAGCTACTGGAAGACCTTCCTGCGCTAGAACACCCCCTACTGCCTTGTCCGAAGCATCAGTGTGTACCTCAAAAGCTTTCTCAAAATCCGGCAGTTTCAACACTGGAGCAGACGTTACAGCCTTCCTCAGCTTGTAGAATGCGAGTTGGCATTTGCTAGACCAGTCCC